TGGCAGGAAGGGTCACGCGGTTGGGCATTTTGCAAGCGGAAGGAAGCAGGGCCAGAGGCATCCGATGATCCGTAAATATAGCAACAGCATGTATGCTCTCCCGGCTCCAGGCCAATTGGAATGTCGACCAGGCGTTAAGGACAATGTGAGCAACTGCACGTGGGACGGACCGTGCAATCGGCCCCGGAGGGTGAATGATTGGTCAAAACATGCTACTCGACCGAAAGATGCCAGGAGCCTTCTCCGGATGGGCATGCATGGCCGGGTTTGTCCATCTGCTCAGGATGCTACGTCGGAGTTTAGAATGCTTGGGCGGAATTGGGAAACGTCCAGAACAGCTTAGATGTTTCAACAAGATCAGACTTGCTCCATGGCCTCTGATGGGCTGATGCCCCCACTGGAGCCAGGCTGCATCAGCGCTTTCCCAACAGAAGAAGTAACAGAAGAATTCTGTTAACTCAGACTTCACGTTTGAGCTCCGCGCCAACACAATGACCAGCATGAACGTCGATCGTGCCACCCGGGTACCCATGAGCACTGAATCCTGCATCCAACGCTGACGGGCACGAGCGCTTTGGTGTGTGTCACTCTACAAGACAAGGCAGATAGCCACCAAGCTTGATGAACTCACTAATGGTCAGCGGACAAGCTGACACAGCTTGATAAGGACTACAGGCTCCGGGGCTAGCAAGTCGACACTTGAAGGGTCAAAGGGTCAACGTCCATGAAACAGGAGGAGCAGTGGTCAGAAAAACCGCCTTCATGTGATTTTGGTGGCAGGGAGAAGCAGAGTTGTCTTGTGCAAGACATCCTCGGATTAGACTTCAAGCTCAAGACTAGCCAAACGAATACACATGACGCAGCCGGGCTCACTTGCACGCCTTTTGCGCCAGGCTTTCGGGTGTAGAGCTTGTTTCTACCAGGTCTACCCATGCAACGCATAGTTCTGCATGGCGTTCCTTCCCAAACATGGTAAACTATACCGAGGCCTTCCCTTTCGGTGTCCGTCCTCCTCTGCACGTATCCTGGCCTCATCCTGTCCCATGAACTCCCGCAAGCTCAAGAACAAGACCTGCCAAACGACAGCAGCTGTAGACGCTGTAGGCAGTCGATTCTTTTAGCGAAGAATTCCTGGGCCCGAACCAGCGGAGCCGGCCGCAGCAACTCGCACATGCACGAACCCCACCTGGGTATAAACGCAAGTTGAGAGGGGCTCTTGGCATGAGAATGGCTGACCACGAACCCTAGCATGCCCTGGCCAAGTTTCCGTCTGTTCAAGTCAGGTTTAGACATGCAAAAACATTTTCTGAGACCCATGCCCAAGCACCAAATAATTCACCTTAGCTTCTGATCTAAAGTTTGGCAAGAATCTTGCCAAACCGGCCCCAACATTCGCTCGCATCAAGAGGTGTTAAAAGTACATGCTGAACATGTGCGGGATGGCACGCAACGCACTGGCAAGAAACAGCACAGAAGCATACTCTCGAAGAATCAAACGAAATCGTGGCTTCCAGCGGCTTACAGCGTGTACTTATGCCAAGGACAAATAAGGCCTGTTCTTGACTTTTGGCTAGCTGATGCACATCCAGGTTACATAGAACCGAGATGTCAGCGGGAGTGATTTCGCCAACAGTGGCACAATCGCCGTCGGCTGCTGCGCCACGAAGAGAAGGGTGGTGATGAGGCCCTGCATATGACTTTGCAAAAAACGCGCTTCAGCATCCAGGCGCATCTCACAAATATCAATGTGCAGCCCGCTCTAAGTGAGTTCTACAGCGCCTGCGCAAACGAAGTCACCAGCAGCACAAAGACAACCAGAAAGGCAAAGTACGTGCGTTGGAGCTGGAGCTGCGCGGATGAGTTTGACACCTTTCACTTTTGGCGAAAAGCAGGTCACAGCGCGATGGAGATGTTGAAATGAATTGGAAGGTGTGGAGACCCAGCCACAGGGAAAGGCAGAACTCCCTGAAGCTGTCCGCGAACAAACTCGCTGAGCGTTGGCAGCTAAGCCAAGAGTGTTGACGAGTCAGCTCATGTGAATGTTCTGGCCGGGCCGCTGGTTTGGAGAAGGCCCTGACGATTCTCCTCACAGCCAAAACAAGTCTTGCACCAATAGGCCAAGACTAGCTAGTAGTCAGCCAAGCTTCAGCAGAACTGCGGGGATGAAGCTCAACATGAGCTTCAGACTGAGCGTTGCCAGCACACCTTCCAGCCTGGGATGGGTCTCTGCCGGTACTGTTTGCATCATAGCCTTTGCTGCATGTGAAGGCTGGGCGGCATCTCCATGACAATGGGGACAGAGTGCCTCAACCTGACAAAAAGGACACGGATCGAGGCCACTGCTCACAATGAGCTCCAGATGAAAAACACGCCAAGCCTGCCGATGGCTGGAAAGATCTGCTGCCATGAGTTCAAATTCCTGAGATGGCGCGGGATATTCAAAAGGTCTACAACAGTCTATAACCATTAAAAAAATGGGCAGTCGGATTTGTTGGATGCACTGGGAAGAGTGGGAAGTTGAAAGGATGCAAGCTCCTCACCTGCAATGGACAATTGCATGGCTTTTCAGGTGCGAAGAGGCCAAGCGTGTCCTGCAGGTTGTCCCTGGAATTGCGAATAGCCAAGGCTCAACAGTGTTGAAACGAAGACAACCTTGCTCGAATCAACCGAGGAAAAACTTGAGTCCACAAAACTTCTGTCCTTCGGACACCGCATGGATCTGTGCAATGTTCAGTCAAATCGCTGCTGGAACGAAAGCCAGGAAGATGCCAAAAGTGCCTGCATATCAAACGCGGCCAGTAAATAAGGGCATCCAAAATCTACGGTACACTGACATGCTGCAGAGGGAGTTGTCAGATACTCGACTGCGAATTGCAACAGCCGCTCGTAAGATTCAGCAAGGCTGCTGAGCGCGCCCAGCCGCTGGAGAGCGAAGCTTGGGCGAAGGATCAGTGCATCCTGAGCCGCTACACGCGCTTTTCGATGAACAGTTACCTTGACTTTTGACTGTTCAGGACTCATCGCATGAAACACTGCCGCGGAGCGTAGGACACGTCCATGGGCGATGGCGCCTGTCGCAAAGGGCAGGCGGGACTGGCAAAGCATCTCACAGAGGTGCTTTCCCCTCGCTCGCCTGTTGCAGAACAAGTGCAAATGCGTCTGTCCCCAGCTGTTCCCGGGCTGCCTTGACTTCAGCATATCAGCGGCACAATGCACATTCACTAGCCCACATCATAACTGTTCGTCAGCTGAGATACAAGTCTCATGTCCAGCCGCGTCCGAAACGTCACGAAACCAGTGCTTGTGCAAACCTGCACTAGAAGCACGCTGAGTCATGTTTGAGTGGCTTGGATTTGATTTGTTTGTCAAAGCTAGTTGCATCATGCGCGGTACATCTCCTGGTTTTTGATGCTGGGTATTAAATATCCCCACGCGATTCGGTTTTGCGCACCACTGCAGATCCCTCAATTATCAGCCGGGGCGCATCTGGATCCAGTGCGTGGCTCAGCCGGCCCAGGCGAACTCGCTCGGCAGCCACTTCTTCCTGCATAGAGGCGGACGACTCTTTCAAATGCCGGAGCTGCTAGATGTAGCCCCGCACACGGCCGCTACGATTCCGGCACCGCAAATGTCAAAGGCAAACAGCATCAGGCAGCGAAGGAGTGCTGGGAGCTCCTTGATGTCAGCCACTGACTCCCGCCGGAACCTTGGAACATCATGCCTCTGTTGCATGGGCATGATGTTTGCGCAATGGGGGCACGTTTTCATAGTTTGCCCATAAGCGAACCATAATTTCTAACTTCAAACTTTCTCGCTGTCCTCGAACACCCATGCAAAAAGGTGAGTCGACTTAGCTGTTGGATCCCAAAAGAGAGGATTCAAGCAGAGCAAAGTTGAGGAGTGGTATGGTTGGCAAGGTAGAATATGTCCATTGCTCCATCAAAAAAACTTGATAGCGAAAGCAGCCGTCATCAGTGAGAAAACAGAGATTGCCTGCACGGAGGGAGCAGAGAGAAACCCCAGTCAAGCCTTCCAAGCCATACTGAAACTTCGTGTCAGACCATCAACGGCGGAATACCTCCTTGGGACGTGGATTCTAAACTCGAATTCACGGAGTCGCGGTGCTGGACCAATTCTGAAGAGGCGGGATCTGCATAGCCTTCTGCCTGGCTCCTGCGCAACTACACCAATTATGGTCAGAAATGATCCAACAAGATTCGTCCACACTCCTCAATGCTCAGCGCAAGGAGACATGATCAGCACCAATTATGATTCAATAGTGAAAGGCCGCAAATGAGATTTTCAGGAATTCAAGGCATCATACCCAAGGCAATGTGATTGTGATGCAAAGCTGTCTGCAGCTGACTCGACACAATTTGAAAGTCGCTGTGACCCTGCGAAGGCCTCAGAATAGCCTTCGCAAGCTCTCGCTCAGCTTTGCGAAGCCTGATGCGACAGACTCAGTCTGATTAAGACAAGCTCACTTCCCACGAGAGTTGCCAGCCTTTCGAGCTTGCGCTGCAGCAGCCGCGTGTTGCGGACAACGTAGCCTGGAATGCAGGGAAGGGCGTCCCTTGAGACTTCCCCAGAAAGGGTCACAAGTTGCATGTTCATCATCTTCGACACGACCCTACTCGTGCTTCCACCCTTCAGTTCAAAGCATGGTTTTGGAGTTTGGGGTTCAGGGTTTAGGGTACAAGGTACGGTATTGCAGGGTTAGAGCTCAAGTTCAGGGAGCAGGGTTGACGGACTATGGTTTCAGGGGTAGCGTTTGGGGTTCCTGCGTCGTAGGTTTAGAGTTAGAGCGTTAAGGTACATGACTTGCACTTTTGGGTAGGGTTTGCATTCTAAGTTGAGGGCACGGTGCAGTTTCGGATTCGGATGTAGCGTGCATGCTTTATGGTGTCGGCGAGGGTTCGGGGTTAAGGCGTGAGGATTCAGTCTCTAGGGTTAGTGCTGCGTTGTTGCGGCTCGTTTGGCCCAGCATTTGGAGGTCTCTTGCTTCGGTTTTGGATTCGTGGACCCTCGCAAGGCCAGGCAACGGGCCAAGCCCATCGAAAGTTGCATCGTTTTGTGCAGCTCAGGGACAGCGAACAACGGCGTTGTCGCCAAAGAGGCCAGCAAAATAGGACTGCAGGCCTCGAGTAAGAACTGTCAGTTCGGCAGTCCCCTCTGTCGTGTGCTTATTGGCCAGACACGTCAACGTCCTGGCCGTAGTCCAATTTCAAGACCAAGGCAAGCAGTAAGTAAGATCCAGGCGCGCGTCTGAAGACATAGACTCCGGCATGCCCTGCACCTTAAGCAACAAAAGCATAACCCAGACACTGAAGGAGTTCAGTAGTCGCGATGGAAAAGTTTGCACTAGTGTTGCCCTTGACAAATATAACCAGAAGACAAGGACCTGTAGAACAACCCTCATATAAAGAACACAGCTGTGCAGAGCCTTCGTCTGCACGCCTACGGTACCAAAGAAAACATCTTGGACACCAAAAATCAAAAAAACGTCCAAGCCGGGCGCCAAGACTGTGGTGGACTGCGGGAAATCCATAGCGCCGAGCCAGCGGTAACGAGCAGGAACAAACCTTCAAGTCCAGGGCCGACCCTTTCTTGTGCTTGCAATTTCAAGATGCAGCACATCCTTGAGAAAAAGGCAAGTGGCTGCTTCATGGCCAGGTGCAGATGTCCTGAGCAGGAATGGTTCAGGCAGGTCCGAGCTAGCCGCTTATCAGCAACATGGCCACATTGCTCCAAGTGTCGTGTCGTGAGCACGACCACGATCCAAACCACAGCAACGTGGATCCACAACACCTGTCATCCCAAACGTCAGACTCACAGGGAAACTTCATGCACCCTTCGAGCGACCATACATCTTTAACTGCCATGGCGCAAAGTAGCGGTCTTCGCTGACTGCCAAGTTGAATCGAGAGAAGAGCTCGGAGCTGTGTGGCTGGACATATGTCCAGTGCAATGGGCAAACAACGACCTCAAGATCTGGCGTCCGTTCTCCCATGGGTGATTTTCAACAGAGCCCAATTGCAATAAGAATGAAATTGGGCAAGACATCTGAAGAGGCAATGATTGCGGATGCTCTACAGCTTTCCAAGCTGAGCTGCAGGAACCAGGCATAGCGACACAATGATTCGCAAAGAAAGCCTGAGCGATTTTCGTGTAGTGCAAATGTATGTCTGTGAAGGTACATTGCTGACTATTGCATGTCGAGTCGGGAGAACTGAGTATAGGCCAAGAGGCCATTGGAATTGCAAGTGCATCCATGCGTCTAGACCCTGAACCTCCAGAACATCCTCCTCCTTGAGGAATATTGCCTTGGAAGGCTTCTTGGAATGCTGGATCTGACTGCGTTTTGACTAATATCACAGGCATTCCCGGAACCAAACTGTTTCAGCTCATGCCAGTGGAGACTCAAGACCAGCACTTGCTTTGGCTCCAACTCCCGTTCCACATGCTGCACAGGCCACAACTGACAGCTGATGCCACAAGGATGTCACATCCTTGGCAACCCCCACGACAGCTTCAGAAGGATGTCCAGGCAATGTTTGGGGCTGGCCCCTGCGGGCAAAGGCTCTGCAATCGCTTCTGCAAATCCGACGCCTTCGCTGCTGCAGAAGCCTCGCTGCTCCAGCTCTCCTGAAATTCGGAAGCTGTCTCCAACAGATCTCAAACTCACACATAGTGCACAGAGCTTGGTTTCATCAGGCAATTCTCCCTGCACATAGTCTGCAGGCAAGATTCTTTGAGAGTACAGCGTCGGGTAAAGCCAGCTCAAGATCTTAAATGCGATCACGAACCACACCTTAGGGCACAGCACTGAGGTAAGTTCTGCGCGAAATTCCTTCCTGCTCATTAGTAGGCCTTGGCAGACAAAAATTCAATGACCACAAGACCTGGTCACAAATCTTGCAACTGAGGATGAGACACAGACAGTGCTGGTAAATATGATCGTGCTCACAATCTCTAAAGTATCGCCTCAGCACGGCATCAGCTCAAATTAAAGAAGCTCCCAGGAAGCCCGTGTTCCCACATCAGCGTTGTGCGCCGAGCTGCCATGCCCATCTAGCTTCACACGCATGACTTCCGCCGACGAGACATCTCCTGTTACAAGCGTTCCATGGAACATGACGGGAAATCATATTATACATATGATGCATACCATGGGAAAATCACAAGAGCGATGAACAATGAGGAACAATGCTGAGAAGTCTGTTGAAATGTTGCAGTATTTACAATGACGAAAGCGAACAAGATGAAACATCACGGGCAAATTTTGAATACCGAAAAACCAGATGAAGCATGATGAGAACGATGAAATATACGTCATCATGAATTATGACTGAGTTCAGCGAGTAGGTTGGGGGGGATTTGCAAATTATGTGACACGACGGGAAAAGTGACTGACATCGTGAAAATGCTGGAAACCTATGTAAAAGTGACGAAAAACCTAGAAGCATGACAAAAAGACAAAAAGCAATACAAGATGAACAATGCTCACACGTGATTAAGATGATGAAAAAGCTGAAATCTGATGGAAAATTATGAGGAATGAGGAAAACCATCAAAATGGAATATGATGAAAGATGATGAAATGAAAGTTGGCAAAACATCATGAAGGATTATAGCAAATGATGACGAGCCATGAAAAGTTGTAGAGAAGTACGGAAGTCATGAAAATTGTGTAACATGATGGAAACTCCTGATAATAGTTACAGTCAACTATGATGAAATATGCTGAAATTGAGGACCAATGATAAAACACGATTGAAAGTTATTAAGATCATGGAGCATGATGTAAATGATACAACAGGATGGACAAATCCTAGATGATGATAAAACTTGAAACATCAGGAAATATGCTGAATAAACTATGAAGCACAAGTTTACAAGTAGTTCAGCGTGCGGAGGCGAGGGCAGCCCTCCCCCCCTGATCACCCCCCCTCCCGGAAAAATGATGATAGAACGTTATGAAACATGATGGGATAGTATGAAAGTTTGACTAAAAATCTTGCAATAGCTATGGAAAATGGTGAACAATGCTCAAGGGTGATCAATATGATGAAAAATTTGAAAAAATCTTGAAATATTCGAAAGATGATGAACACGATCATAAATGATGGAAAAATGAGATAATGATGAATTACGACGCAATTTGCTGAAAATGATGAAAGATGATGAAGCAAGTTATGAAAACTGATGAATACGACAATGGATAGGATATCAGCATAAGCCAAATAGATGAAAATTCACCCACCCCCCTACCCCTGCACAAAAAGACATGAACGATTATTATATTGATGAAAGCGATGCAGAATGATGAAATGTGTGCTGCGTCCTTAGTCTAATCACTCTGCCCAGATGGCCAAATTGGAACATCTGGCAAATTACAAACGTGATGAAACATGATGAGCTGATGAAAATGATTAAACACCATGAAAGTTGTTGAAATCATATGAAGAATGCTGAAAAATGATTTGGGGTGATGAGACGGATGAAAATGATGAAAATCGGTGAGGTATCATGAAAGACGATGAAACATGATGAAAATGATGGAAACATCAGAAAAATGACGGAAGATGATGAACGGAAGTGATAAAAACATGTGAAGAATCACAATAGCTTTGGAACGTGATGCAAATGATGAAAGATCGCGAAGAGTGATGATACATGATGACAAATGACTAAACGGTTCAGCAACGGAGACGATTAAGTGATGAAATAAGCCAACAATAATAGTTATAGTAAGTACAAGAATATGAACAGCAATAATTGCAATAATGGTAGTAAGAGTAGTCAAAAAGGTAAGGGCTATACTACTAGCAATAAGAATATCATTACTAGCAACCTTCTTTGTGTCTGTCTCTCTTTTGTTTCGTTCTTTCTGTCGCTCTTCTTCATGTCATGAAGAGTGCCCAAAACTGCTTTAACAAGAAAAAGGCTCAAAAATGTGTTTTCCGTTGTTTGATGCGGAACCTGTTTCATGCTGGCTGTCAAGACTCTTCAAGGCCCATCCAACGCACTGTGACCCAGCTGGCGAGCTTGGCCTTGAAGATGGTCAAGCGAGTTCGTGACGTTGGCAAGCTCACTCGCAAGACCGCCTAGGGGCAGAAAAACTGACCCCTTGAAAAGATTTCAGAACTTAGTTGAGCATGTGCACCACTGACGTTCGCGGCTGCCGCGGTAGGGGATTGCGTCGAGCGGACCAAGCCTTTGCAAGAGTATGGACGAAACATTCTGGATATAGATAGTCAAAGAAATATCAAGGTGAAAGCAGCACTCAGCTCTATGAAGCTTCCAGCATCTTTCAGTGCTGGACCTGACAGCTCAGCTACTGTGTGGCGCCGGAGAAGACTGGCAGCCGGCCAAACTGAGCACACACCAAAGCTGAGGGCTTGAGATCCAGTCGTGTTTGCAAGCCGCAAGCGTGAACGCTTTCACCGGCAAAGCCACGGTGACCATGAGCGAAGATGTGCACAGATCCGTCAGCAAGCACCTCAGTCGTTGTGAGAAGCAAGTGCGTCATCAACACCAAATGTACAAGATGCCATCCTTGCCATCCACCCGAATCTATGGCACAGCACATGGCATTTCTTGAGCAACTACCTGCAACTGCGTCTGCATAGAAAGTTGATAGAGATGGGCAGAAGGCGCCTGAACCTGCCGAGGCGTGGCGCCGAAGGCTGGCACCGCACATGCCAAGATGGCCCAAAGCAGCATGCCTTTGCGCACAAGCCATCCCATGCACAAATATTCAAGTGTGCTCCAGTCTTGCGTCCGACTTGAATGGCTCAAGCTTGGTGGAGCTGCCAGCTCACCCTTTCTAGCTTGGACAACTGAACACATTGAAGGCGCCAAGTCTCTTTACCCTGATGGTTCAGCCGCGTCTGTGCAGCAGCATCAGGCCGAGTACATGGCAAGCTCTCGCAGCAATCACTGCACACACCGAGCCTCAATCATCATCATGGGGAGAAGCTATGAAACGGTCATCATGCTGTGTCAGTTGAGTGTGGGGCATATCACAAGCTAGATGCACCTGGACATATAGGCTTTGGTCACCTAAGTTCAGTCTTCAAGGCCAGCGTTTGCTCATGATGGTAGAGGCTCGGCGGGAGGCCTGACGTGAAGACTTTGAGCCACGAAGGGCTGCAAAAAGTATGTTTCTCAACTCTGGTTCAACCAGGGGCCATAGAACACGTGGCCTGTGAATGCATTGATTCCTGCACTAGCTGTTCCAAACGACTCCACACGGCCATTTTTGCAGCTCGCAAAACAAGCTTGCACTGTAGCCCTCTGCTTGTCATAGCATGGATTTCTCAGCCCGCAGTGCTCTTCTTTGTGAACCTCAAGGCAGGTGGTGCCATGATGTCCGGTGCTGCAGGCACATCAGCAACATGCTCATGCACAGTCGTTCGTCGCAAATCTGCAGGTACATAACTGGCACTAGCAACACTGTGGCTAGCCGGCGGTGCAAAGCGTTGCCATGATGGCTGTGCAGCTGTGGTACTGCTTCCACGCGCTCCAAAGGAACATAAGCGTGATCTGCATGCTGAAGCCGCAGACTTGCTTGTTGCTGATCGACTCCTGAGCTGACACAGGCGCGAGCAACTGCAGCCTTTGTCTTGCTCAGAACGTCTCAGCATGCTCTATCAGCGTCGACTCACAGACCAAACCCTGCAAAGGCAGCAATGCTGTACGCCAACCAGTAGGCCCACCAGTCTTGCTGCTGGGCATCGTGCAGGAGCAACGCAGACATCACCACCTTCGGCCAAATCATGTGCCAACGCATCATGAGGACTTTTCCTCATGTTTCAGCCCAGATGCAATGGCAATGTCCTTCACCTAGTCAAACGTGCACTTCTTATCCGAATCTCTGTCTTGTCCCTACGCCTTGAGAGTTCTTGAGCGAGCAGGTAGCACGCAAGCTTCATGGAACCATTCATGGCGACGCTCACCAAGCAACGTCCAAGAATGTCCAAGTTGCGTTGCCAGTCAGGATATACGCCACTGGGGATAGGATCTTCAGGAACATGGCGATGAGCACGTTGAGAACCTCGTGTTCTGCCGAACTGCAGCATGTCACCTAGAAGCAAGTCTAGTACGGCTCAGTGGCAAAAGCATTGGCGATATTCAGCGCCAAGTCCGTGCCTGGTCGAACAGTGTCGAAAGCAAACACGACATCATCATCTCTTCCGCCTTCCGCCTAGAACATTTGACATGCTATAGACTTCCGACACCCAGCTGCGCAACTCGAAGATCTGGCCGTAGCTGGGCATTGCAACGAAAGTCAACTCATAAGCCTTGCGCTCGCAGGAGCAGCACTACAGTTCTCTCCAGGTCAGCTATACATAGCAGCTCTTCAGCAACCGCATTTCAAGCATCCAGTCTGGTTTGAGCCCCCAAGCCCAATCGCAAACTGGTCACGTGATAGTGGAATAAAATCACCATAGCCAGCAAGAGGCCACACAAGGGCATTATGATCAACACCTCAGAACATCTGCGGCATTCTGTGTCCCATCAATCAGACTCAACCTGACACCTCTGGTTCTTCGAATGAATTGAAGTTCTGCTTGTGTCTTTCTGCAACTTTCTGCAACGACAAAGCACCGCGGATAACGGATCCAGCTTCTTGCCGGAGCCGTGTGCCAAGGCCAAGCACTGAAAGATGGTCTTTGCCTGAGCTCTCTGCAAAACTACATGCTGCAATCGCGCATATGCGTCGTCACCTGCTTCTGCGAAGTGCGGAGCATGTTGCTGACTGGTGGTGTTTGCATAAGCGGGGTTGAGATTTCCAAAGCACCCAACATCCCATTGGCAAGATGCTGCATCATGTACAACCCTATGTTGACTTCAGCCGCTGCAGTTGAGGGTCTGCCTCCGCCAGAGAAGAGCTGGCTTGGAGGAGGAGGCCGGAAAGCGAGAAGTGTAGCTCGCCCTGGACGCACGTCCTGGCGGCTTCTCAGCAATTGGTCACTACAGTTCACTTCGGATCTCGAAGATAGGCGCGGCAAAACAACTTGAGGGTACATGCAGCAGGTCCAGGTAGCACACACCATTGCGACCAGGATCATAATCTGAACCTCAGGACGGAGCCACAGAGGAAGAGACACCACGTCAAACTCACGTTGCTATCCCTGAAAGCCTCATGACAGAATCCACGTGAAGTTCCACCTTCCAGCCTGACCCACGGAACATGGCAACCACATGTGACTAAGTCTTCACCGGAAACAGCTGTCGATATCTATCAACAGGCTGAGCAGTCGACAAACGAGAAGTCCTCAATACCAGCCACTACGGACATCAAGTAGATAGTCACCTGAACGCGGCAATGCTTGCACAAGTCAGGCGCCTCGTGTCGTCGTGATTGAATTCACATGTGGCCGCTGCAAAAAACGAGGCCGAGGAGAAAGACTGCCCGAGGATTTTGACTATGAGCAGCATGAGGAAAGCTTGAACTAGCACATCCAAAAGTTCATCTAAGACGCATGATACTGACCACACCCAAGTCCTGCTACTGTAGCCTTCATGAAACCATACCTCTGGCTTAGACTTAGATATCAGAGCCCTCATGTTCTGCAAGGCCCAACGGCACTGTACCCCTGTGCTTCACAGAGCAGGTCGCTATGTTGCTTTCCTTCATCATCTGGAGAAAGGCAACGGTGCAGTACTTGTAGGCCATATTGCTGGTCACCTTCAAGATGTCACAGCCCAGTGCACCATACGCGACATATCAAGCAACATGTACAAAGCACGTACATGCACAGCTCTCAGCTTGGTGACCAATGATATGGCGAAGCATCCAGCGATGGGTAGAATTTCCCTGCAACGTTCAACGAAAAAAATTTGCAGGAAGCACACTCCAACAACGTTCAATTGCAACCAAGTACTTCCTCAAGCAGTACATCAAGGTGATGTCGACCGCTTTGTCTGGGTCCTGAATGACTTGCAAGTTCTGTGGCTTCTCAAACACTTTTTTGATATTCTGGCAGCTGCAGTCGATTGCTTTGCATTTCCTACAGCATGTCCAACTCTAGCTTCATGGAAGGCTGCTGCTCATAGACGAGCAGCTGTCAATGCAGGAAACAGCGACGGCTTAACCAGGAGAAGAACTCCTGCAAAGAAGGAGCCTCAGCGCGACAAATAAGCAGATTGGTCTTGATTTCTGCCTTTGTGGCCGACAAGGCTTGCCGTCAAGCATCAGAAAAAGCAGTGCATCGTCACTAGAAGGAAAGGATATGGGAAGACGCCAGGCTGCATCAAGTGCTGATTACTACCTCAGAGCGCCGTTGCAAGCGTGAGCTCCACATTAGCCAAGCATGACTTGAGGTCGGCCTACTAGTACGTGTACTCGACATCTGCCAGATGTCTCGCAACTGTCACAAGCTATTCACACCGTTCTGAAGAATGGAGACCATCGTGCGTTTTCCGTACTCGTCGTTTTACCCCCTTGCCTCTGGCTCGTGTTCAGGAATTCCGCCGGGCTCTCTATAGATGCTTTGTACTGCTGCAGACAAGCCGCGGATCAAAGAGGCTGACCTTTAGCAGCAAAACCAAAACAGGAGTCGACTCAAGAAGCTTCCATCATCCAAACACAAAAAATGATGCTGCAGTGCCAGTGTAGAGCAATCCGACGCTAGCCGGGCCCACTCCCTGAATCTCCCTGAACAGTCAAACACATCTCAACAGTACGCACAACAGCATCCAAGGCTCGCAAGAACCAAGACTGGCGGAAGTACGCACGGCAGCAGCCATTCTTGAAGGACGGATCCTGTCCTTCGAAGGCTGCATTGGGCCAGCACGACTTGCTCACATGTTCTGGCTTCTCATAAACTCCAGTTAGAGCGGCGTGTTGAGAAGTATGTGTGAGCTTCTGCTCCTGCTCGATGAACCCAGGTCTCGCCCGACCCTACTTTGGCTACAGGCCCCAGCAATCGAACGTGCCTGCCATTTGGTTTTGGCAAGCACTTAGAGCCACAGTATCCCTGAGTCACTGCTGTGGGCGCATTGTTTGCTGCACGCCTTTATCCCTGATAGGCTGGTACAACCTGGCTCCAGCTGCACACATCAATATCTTTGCCCATTACTTCATGACAATCTGTCAATCACCGTCCCGCGCATACGGGCATTCAAAGCTTCCCTAGTCTTGACTGCTTGCGAACGCGTTGCCGTCTGGGCAGTAGCGGGTGTGCCTGCGGTCAGGTTGCACTTCATGCTCTATGCTGAAGTGCCTTGTAATTCCTGTTCGGATCCTACCAGCGCGCCTCTTTCTGCTTGGCACTGGCTGAGTGCATCGAACTTTGAGTAACGTGCCTAGGCTTGTCGCGGGTTTGCATACAAGCCTGCCCGAACGCAAGTGCGCCATCTCCGCCAGCAAAGTTTCTTGCCACTTCATGTCACAAGAGCTCAATTGTTTCTGCATTCTGCTAGTGGCGGCTTTGCCTCTGTCCGAACAATGACAAACCACATTTTGGCTTGGTTCCCCTGAATGTCGGGCTGCGAGGGAAGAGATCGCTCACCAGCGCTTTTCGAGCATGAACATGAATGCTGTGTAGGAAACGCGCGGGCAATAACAGCAACAAAATGTCTGTTCCTCCTGCAAGCCGCTTCATGAAAATCATGTGCTCATGAGCAGGGTGTAGCTGGAATGATGCAGTGATGATTGCATGGACCCCGCGGAAGACAGAAGAGGTATAGATCGTCCTGAATGGCCGCGGCGGAAAGAGCAGATAGCACGCAGGTACCCCGTCCCAGTTCCTCCATGTTTCTTCGGGTTCGTGCAGCTGCGTGACCAGAATGAACACATGCCAGGCACCCAGCATAGCACATGCACTGTCACAGCAAACTTCCTACACACAAGTGCAAAGTGCAGGACTTGCGGGGATGCCTTGCGACCCTGAGGTGGCTGACCTTTTACCAGCAGGATCAACCTGCGCGACCACAATACACCCGGGCATCTCAAAGCACAGTGAGAGAAGATCATTGACGCAAACTCCATCTGTCATCAGCAGAATTGTAGCACTGTAGGGTGTTGGAAGATCTTGGAAGTTCACATGCTCTGGCTGCAAGCCTCGCTTACTTTGGGCTCTCATCGGCGGTTGCTGGCCCTGCATTTGGCCTTGGAGAAGATCGGTCCGGTGCCTCCTCGGGGGTCACCATAGGGATCTGCGCAGATCGCATATCAGCCAATGGTTTCCTCTTCTTCTGGTGGAGCCAGCGCAGCCCCAGCATCTGTGGCAGCCTCGCGACAACGTCCTGGGCAGGCCGAGGCTCAAATTCTGACCGAGTTGGAGATCTCATGCCCTGCAGAGTCTATACCAACTGGCTCATGCTACGGTAGGCACGCTGCGCAGACGGCCAGGTTTCTGCCCCATGATTGGAACACCTTTGGATAAATTGGTGCTGATGGCTGATCAACGTTAAAGTCAATGACTATGAAATAAAAATCTAGATGTCACCTTATCGGCCCTGTGTAAGCGTGCGGAAAAGCTTGCATACAGCATGTTGTCTGAATTATGCAGGAGCTCCAAACACGGATGACACTGCTGCAAGCAACATAAAACACAACTTGAACCACCACTGAACCTCATCATACCACATGCTACAGATCAGGTGGCTGCGCTTGCAAAAGCTAATTTTCTTCTCAGAGCAAGGCATCTGATGCGGCTACACCAAGCAGGCCAGGTAAAAGCAGCATGGCACGCAACAGATGGCTTGAAGTTTGTAATGCCTTTTTCCAGCTTGCTGTCGCTGGTTTGCGCTGTTCTTTAGGAGCTCCAGGTCTCCCACGTCTCCAAAGCTGTACAGCACAGAGGACTTGGCGCGTGTAAATCGAAGCTTCGTAGCTGCTAAACCTTAGCAAAGCCTGAGCCTTCGTATGACTCCACTCTCTCATCCATGACTGTGACTCACGCCGTTCTCTGACTGAACTTGCAGTCAGCCTCAGCTCGAAGTGCTGGAGGTGGAACTTGACCTCAGAGAATCACCGGATTCAAAACCTGTGGCTGCCGATGGTCAGCATAGCAGGTGCCAAAGCTAGCTGAATCAAAGAACTAACCTGGAATCAACAAAGCTTGACAACCGACAGCACTGTACTTTCTTGTCGCCCAACTGGGCTGTCAGGCTTTCTAGATTTCTTTTGCTTTTTCCTGCGCTCCTGTGCAAGATGAGTGGGCCAGCATTCAACTCGCAACGCGGAAAAATCTACAAGAAAGTGTGGAGTTGGAGCGCGCATGCGCGTTGACGTCATGACCTCGGACATTCCAGGTCCTAAAGTGCTGTGAAGCAAATGCACCCAGCAAGAGAGCAAGGCATAGTCCTTCTCCCGCTCTTTTCGTTTCCTTCGCCGTCGACTGCTGGAATCACTGCTTGAACTTCTCGATGCTTTCTTCCCTGTCTTGTGCTTCTCACCATTTTCGCCTTGGCGCAACAGGCCTTGCATTATGGGATTGACAACTGATCCGCATTGTGCGGATAGCACTTTGCTACTACAGTAATTAGGGGAGAATGAGCGGTAGCCCGCATGGAAAGCTGTTCTGCATCACAGTCAATGACCAGACACGCCAGAAGACAACAACCTTTTGAGCCCGCAGCTGTGCTTGGACTTGTCTTTTTCCTGTTGCAACAAACAGTGCGGCACTTCTGTCATTTGACCGCCATGCGCTAAGACAGCTTTAGTGCGATGTGAACTGCGCTTCTCGCTTTGCAACTACAGGATAATCAATGAAGGCACTGGTTTCTGCGGTGACGCGTGTTATTTGCAGCACGCAAGCACGACGCCTCTTTCCTGGAATCCTTTTGCTTGGCCTTTGTTTTCCTGTCCGCGCACATCGTACTGAAGGAGGCTAGGCTGCAGAAGACTGCGGTGAAAGAGGCCAGCAACAATTCAGCTTCTCCCCTAGTCCCCTACAGCGAGGAATCCTTGGCCGGCTGGAGGATGAGGACGAAGATGAGGTGCTGAGCAAGGGCAGTACGGGCATTACCAGTGGGCAGCGCAACCCAAGAAAATTGCCACTAGCGGTGCGAGTGGCGCTATCTGCTGCTCAAGCACATCACCGCGCTCATCGTATTAAGACAGCATACGCTGACAATGACTGCATCATCCGAATTACAGCAACAGTAGGTCTGTTGTCAAGCTGGCTTGCTGAAGGAGTCGAAACTTTCGCGGTAAAGCTTGCCGCACCAATCCCATGGATAGCACTATGACGCCACCTGCCTTCGCCGCTTCTTGGCCTTTCCCTTTTCTTTTTGCCTCTCCTTATCTTTTAGCTTGTCCTTCTCCTTCTCCCTTTCCCTTGCCTTCTCCTTCTCCTTTCCCTTCTCCTTCTCCTTCGGCAAGTCCATCGATTTCTCCAAGCCCTTCTCACTCTCTGGGGCCTTCTCCTTCGTCACGTCCTTTTCCTTTTCTGTCTCCTTTTCATTCTCTGGGTCCTGCTTCATCTCCTGGATCTTGTCGGTCTCTTGTGCTACAACAAGCGGTGTGTCCTTCTCCTTTGGCTTCACTTTGTCCTCTTTGTCCTTGTCCTTTGCCTTCTCCTTGTCAGTTTTCTCCTTCTCCTTGTCTCTATCCTTGTCCTTCTTGTCCTTCTCCTTATCCTTTTTCTGTTTATCCTTTTTCTCCCTCTCTTTTTTGGCTTTCTCCATGTACTTTCGCTTCTGCTTCTTCTCCACCTTCTCCTTGTTGGCCTTTCTAGAGCTGCTGGCCTGTCCAGGACCCGAAACAGCACCTTGTGCTGACCTCTTAGGAAAGAGCGTAAGCCTACGAAGGCAAATATGAACTGCCACTGGAAACAAGCCTTGGAGCGTGTGGCTGACGTACTTGATGCACGCTCCTGCTCCGCCACCCCCATTTCAAAAAGACGCGCAAACAGTATTTGCCTGACAATTGCGTTTACAGCAGCTGATATCAAAGAACTCAGTTGACATCTCTTATGGGGCCGTGTTGAACCTGTCACTTTTCAGCAGGACCTCTGCTGCACTCCTTCCTTAGCTCACTCTGTGTCAATGGCTCAGACAGACCATGCTTTGGGCTACTGTCTCACATGGGTGTCTTGCGTGACAATGACAACTTATCTTGGTCCTGTCCGGACACTTACAAGTTGCTGAATCCCGCAGCAGCACCAGTCCTTCCGTCGGCTGCTGGAGGAGCTCCTTGACATGCTCTATTTTAGCTTTGGAAAAGAGGAATGCACTTCTGTGAGAAAAAGTGGCCGCTCGCTCACAAAGTCATGAATGCAGGAAGGTTGTGCAAAGGACCACCGCCCCAGCCAAGGGCGGCACTTTCTCTGCTTCTTGCTGTCTGCCTGTGTATGCACAGCGCGCTGCGTAAGATGCTCTCCAGGAGGCTGCTAGAATGAAATTTCTGAAAGCAAAGGTATAGTAAACAGCACTGTGCGCAGACCATTTTCCAGCTGACAGCTTTCGGGCCCGGCGTGGCTTTGCCATGTGCACTCAGAGCCCTTGAGGACCCCAGTACCCACCGAACCAAAGCTTCGAAGGCCTGCGAGACTGTGACACCCAGATCAGTGCCACGTCCCTCCAGTGCCGCAACAGCCGCCTCACCAGCAGCCTTGGGAGATGTGGCCTGGCCAGTTCCCCAAACTGACAACTTCTCTTCTTGCCAAGTTTGCACACTGCCAGGGAAGGACTTTAAACTCCATCGCCCTCTGCGATCTGATCACTGCAAAGGGCGAGAGGCGTTTTCAAAGTCCAGGATAAGGATGGCCCAAGCATGAACATAGGTCATGAGGGCATTATCATCGGAACTGGTGAGATCATGAGCCTCTCTTCATCGGGAAAGAATTCTCAGAAAGCTTTCAAGCACGGCATGCTTGTTTCCCAAACATTAAATGTGATGGCCTTCGCGTTTGAATGCCCGGAAGCCTTGGGCGAAGCGCCTGTAACCAATCATCTTGCCATGATCTCACCCAATCGACATTCAAAAAACTCAGCTGCAGGTAGCAGCCATTCAGAAATTGCAGGAAGCTGCCACCAGGCCGGGCCAAGTCCCCGTACACCAAGTATCTGATTTGTACCGTTTTGAGGATGTTCTGCGACAATGGCACCTTGCTGATAAGCGGAAAACCCATCCTTGTGTAGAAAGGATGGCAGACCCACCACGACATTCAAAGCTGCCGTGGGTGCATGAACATTGGACCACTTGATGAGCTAGCTTCATGCATTTACGGAAGGGATGCTCCTTCCCACCAGGCACAAGGCTCTTCACAAAGTTCCACTTATACTAGGCAGGAAGGACCATTCGAGCTTTTATTGGCACTTTCGCGGCAGGACACCAAACACCAGAAACTTTACAATGCTTAAACCTCAATCGCCAAGGTGGCGAACTTTCAGCAGACCGGAGGAGCATGCTCCTGGCGGAGAGCAGAGGTACTATGCCTTTCTTCAACCTCACCTCTCCCACTTAGCAGGTGCGAAGCTGCAGAAAGAGCTTAAGGTTCTGCGTCCTGCGCTGAAGCCATCAAACGTGGCGTCATGTTCTTCAGGCACTCTCCCCTCTGCACGTCCTCGTACATCTTGGCACCTTGGAACATCAGCGGTGGGGAGAGGCTTGCCATGTGGGAACCTAAGGCCCAGTCTTCCGTTGTAGGATCCATCCACCCAGCTGGAAATGATGATGTTGCCTTGATTCAACTGCAAGAGTTAGATGCCGTGCCACAAAGGAGAATGCCGTAGCCATCAGGACAAAAGTCTTTTCAGAAGTCAGTGCTGTATTCGCACACGCGCAGGACTTTGCGAGGACGCCTTCAATTCTTATGCGTACAGCTTTTTCTGGCCGTTGCATTTTCTACAGGTTTTGCATCGCCTGCTAGCAACGCTTAGCAGGGAGTTGGTGATCGCCCTCATGGTCGGCGTTTTCACCGTTGAGCCGATCAAGTTTGCAATCTCACAGACGCCTGGTGATGAACCATCCATTTGCAAGTATCCCTGGCTGCCTTCAAGCATGTCTTCCAACAGCCTTGATAATACTGGTTGCCCATTGGCTACGAGTTTCAAGGCAGCCTGAGTGCCCAAAAGCAAGACACGTGCATGGATAGCGAAGGAGCACCCGCCGAACGCCAGCCTACCTAGTAATGACCGCAGCTACAAGGATGGCAACATTGCCTTTGAAAATTGTACATACTTGGCAGCAACACAAGAAAAGCTCAGAGGAAGCCACGGGATGCTCATCGCCGACTACGGCCGCCGCAGGGAGCAGCAATCATGTAGGGGGAGGCACTGAAAATGTCACAAAAAGCAGACGAAGGCGCAATGTGCTTCCATGCAGATTTGCATTGATGCGGAGCCTCCCAGCAGCGAAGATCCACGAATGGGCAGTGGTACAAAGTGATGTCGGCAGCTTGCAGTTGGCTTTTAAAGAAAATCTTGTACATGCAAACCGTCCCCCAGAGCCTAGAGGCTCCTTCCCTCGGTCCACGCGAAGAGCATTTGTACCGACTACCACGAAGTCGGCTTCAATGCTCTCTGCAAAACCTGTCACAACAAAAAGAAAGGATGAGAGAGAGGCCAAGGCGGAGTAGACAAAGAGACTGGGCGATGCAGAGGGAAGTTGAAGAAAAGGCAACCTGACAGAGAGTGTGAGAGAGAGCGAGAGACCCAGACAAGAGGAGGTGATAGAGATTGTTAGAGAGTGATGGAGAGATAAAACAGACAAGAGCGCACATGAAAAGGGACACAAGAGGGAACACAATGCAGGTGGACGAGTACAGGCATGCAGGCCACCAGCCTGCGACAGTCTGCGGTATCAGCTCACCTTTGTGTTGCGGAACGATGTGGAACTCGATGTGGCGGTCATGGAATTTCCTCAGGTCTCTCAAATGACCCAAAGCAACAGGCTCGCACACTCCTAGATGCGCCTGTTCTGTGTGGCACACTTCATGGACTTTTGATGACTCTTCACCCAGGCTCTGCAACACATGGTGATCTCCGTCGCCCAAGCCCTGCTCAAAGCTCGAAAGATAATCATCAATTTCATGCGGTCCGCAGCTCAAAAACCAGAAGTGCCACCCAGGTCAGTACCGCTCCGAAAAATGCAACACATCAGTTAAGGCCTCGAAGAAGTGGCTGTAACGGTCGCGAAGGATCTGAACCTGCAGAGCGCAGAGTGATCTCCCAGTGGTCAAGGTCTGTGACATGCTTGCAGTGCTCATCTTGCATGATGCCAGGTCACATGCTCTGACTCTTGATCCTCGGTGAAAAATGTCACGTAAATCAAATGAATCTCGTCTCCTGCATAGGGCCACTCAGACACGCAAAAGGCATGCGACTGCAGGCATGCGACTGCAGCTTAGCGGAGCTTGAAAATCGTCTGTCCTGGCTTTGAAAGCCGCAGCGCATCGAGAAATGCCTTCGATGCTGCCTTGTTGAGGCCTCAAGGTGGCTTGGCTCGACAAGTCAAAGCTCATGGCTGCAGCAGTCTTCACAGGCCAGCGACTCATGGATACCAGGAACTTGGCCTCACATGTCAGCCAAATCCCATGGAGTTCCCACGCAAAGCATGAGGAAAGGAGCATGCGGCCAATGCCGACTGCGGAAAATGTACCTGCAAGTGCCTGACTGGCACATCGAAAGCTTGAATGCTGTCAAGGTTGCTGGCCGGCCCATTGGTAGCTGCTGCACATTTGGCTCCTGCGGCAAGTTACAGGAATTGCCAACACAAGGACATGCAAAGCACCGCTGCACACGATAAAGGCTGACCCACACAGATCCTTGTAGACCACTACGCTGCACCTCTCCACGCTACTGCTGATGAGAACTCCGCTTCCATGCTGCGCAATTGTCATGTGACAGGAGGCCCGCACATGCCCAATAAGGTCAGCTTGCGCCCGAGCCGCAGAACCTCAATGTTGGCAGGACATAGGCGATTCATCTGCAAGACTACTGAGAGACCCAGACAATTTACATGAGAGCTCAAATGCCAAAACCCTGCGCACTCTGTTTCTTGACAGCGCGTTTCATACCCCGTGGCAGGTATGTGCTAGCGGGAGGTGAAGGTATCCCTTCTAAGGCAGTTTCCGATTCAAAGACTGTATTAGTCACGCCGTCACATCGCAGGACCTGCCGATGCCTGCCTTGAGGAGCGAATGATGGGAAAGGCTTCCGACAGATGATTCTCCACTCTCTTGTTGCTCTCATTCGGCGCAGGGTTTATCGCAAGTGCAACAGTCGATGTCTGCACCCGCCGCTGGACTGAAGCACAGCATGTTCATGCTAACGACTGTAACCCAAAGGCATCGAAATTCTTGTGGCGCCTGAAACGAGCGATCGCACAAGTTTCAGTTCATGGGTGTGCGCGACTTTCCAGATTCTAGAAGATCATCTTGGCGTCGCTTTGACTTGAAGCTGCAGGATATCAATACGGGTGAATTCCCATGGAATCTGAGTGTCAGAGGAATCGGCTGCTTGCAAGGGAGCAGCAGCTTTCTTGAGCGCTGTGTTCCAGCGCGTTTCCGGAATATGAAGCTGGGTGCGTGAGCAGCTGGGTCAAGTTGCTGCTGTTGTTGTTGTTGTTGTTGTTGTTGTTGTGGCTGTTGTTGTTGTTGTTGAATGCAACAACTGCGCTTGACATCTGACACACACTCAAGTTGCTCCAACGCATGGCGGGCTACCAACCTCATCAATGTGAGGACCGGAGTAAATTTAGATCATACTTTGCACAAGCAGGACCGGGGCGCTCAACCTTCAAGAGCGCGTCTGAAGGTCTCAGTCTCGAAATCTGGCTAGCTGTCGCGTTGATGAAGTTGATTCGCGGTTAGCACTACCAATTGCACGCGCATGTCTTGGGCGAGGAGGCACATCCAGCAAAAGCAAAAATTCGGTATCCGCCCACACACCGCTTCCTGTCTGAAACCGCGCCAAGGCAGAGCCAGGGCTGCTACGGTCCTTCAGATTGCCAGTTCCAACTAACATCCTTGAAGAAAGCCTACTTGCACACGCATTGCCGACACGCCCGCAGTCAACACTGGACACCATGAAGAGGCGATTCAATCTCCATCTTGAAGCTGAGAGTTACGCAGTTTTCGACATGGCCCGTCAGGCTGTGACACACTTGACCCGCAAAGTATGCGCAAGCACTCCTGCCTCGTAAATGTTGGAGGTCATCATTCGAACATCCTTCTTCCCCTGACATCAGGATTGTTAAGCCAAGACACCTGACATCCGTTGTTCACAGCACCTCAGAACGTCTCAGGCCTTGCGGCCGCGGAAACCCATGCAGAGGAACGTGGCGGGGTTGTCGACGAAGTGATCGCAGATCATCTGGCCCACCTCCCAGGTCTGCTTCTTTCCGAAAGCATAGCACGTGGCCACCGACCAGTCTAAGTCTCAGATTGCTGGCCTGTGAGGTCTTTTCTTTCCAATTGAGCACAAAGCGATCAAGGCTCACCCATCCCAACAGCTTGGCATAGACCTGAGATCCAAAACAAAGCCCGTAATATCTGAAGCAGCTGCAAACAGAAAGAAAAGAGCATCGATTCAGCCTTTGATTCATCCGAGTTGCAACGGCTCGAAGATGCTCCTTTCGATATTCCGGTGGCAAGTAGGCCTTGCTGTGCCAACGCAGCTTCTGAAAACACAATCAGGAACAAGACCCAGCTCCTTGTTGTCATCGTAGATGTGTAGAACCTGAACTTGGAAAATCTCGTGATCAAAACGCAAAGGCTACATGCGCATAATCTCTGCGCGGAAACTCAGAAGCAGAACCGTCCAAGCATACTCAAAATTCTGAAGTGACCAACACAACAAAAGACTCCAAAGAAAGCAGGTTGGGCGCGTTGGAGATGACTTAGTTCAATGTGGTTTGCAACGTCTACTTGTACAACCCTTCCAAGCTCGTGCAGTCCGGGTGAGCTAACTCAGCTTCCCACATCCAGAAATGCGCCGCGCTCGCGCAGAAGGAGCTCGCCAACAACCTTGATTGACATCCGAGGTTATACCGTTGGACTTTTCTTGGTAGTCATTGCTTCCGCAATCACCATGATTCGGATAACCACGTGGGGGCCTCCAAGAATTACGAGCTCCTTGTTGGGAGTCCCCAAGATGAGGCTAATATTATCATGGGGCCTATATTGCTGCCGGGCCCCCCATTTATAGAAACCCCTTTCAATCCTTCCATCTTGCTCTGATGATTGCTATAACCAGCCATGCATAGCGCTTAGGCAACGCGATTGTTGATTATTGTTGTTTGGGGTTTAGGTTTTATGCTCCATTGTTCAAGGTATAGTCGCACAGCCTGTCTGGGTGCTGTGTTCATGTTGAAGCGAAGCATTGACTCGTTGAATGTTACGCCGATGGCACCAATGTATATTTGGGCCTAAAGAAAGCAAAACCTGGATGGAGACACCTGTATGGACTCTTCATATTATCTCCTTCTCAATTAATCCACTCAATTAATCCACTCAAGCAGGCACATCCAGTACCGATTCTCCATTGTGAGTTTAGGACAAGTGCTCAAATCCTTGATGTTTGGCTGCGCAGCATAGTCGAAGCCGGCCATTGACTCTGGGCTGCCGTCGACTGCGAGCAGGAACTTCAAAGGAGCTCCCAAGACCTCGGGAAGGCAATCCCTCCACAGATATCGCGAAAGAAGGCCAAGTTTGGAGAACTCTGGGAGATGGACCGCCTCGCATGAGGTTGTATCGATCACGCCAGCCTGCTCTTGCGAATGCTCACGCAAGCTATCAATCAAGTATCTCAGACGAGAACTGGTTGCTAGAGCAAGGCATGTGAGCTTTTGGAAGCAGACCACGCTTTTTGGACAACTGTCGAACTGAAAACCCAGGCCTGGATTTCGTGATGGACATCCATTCGCACAAACCTCAGCATGAGAGCATCTCAGACGTCCATCGCACTTGCACTTTACTTCAACCAGACCGTGAACTGGAGTTACTGGAATCTGGCAGGCAGACCAGCATGCCAAAGCCCATGGAAAAATCTGAGCTTAAGACCCTCACAGCCAGCACGGCTGGTTTACAAGCTCCACTGATCCAGAGTGGCCGGCAGACATTGAACTGCAATATCATGCGAAACCCCCAACCAGCGCAGCAAAGCTTAACGACGCTTTCCAGTTTGGGGTTTACACATCAAAGGTTTTGAGGATTTAGGGCTTTCAGTTCTCATATGTTGTATAGATGGCATAGACGCCTCCTGCGTTCGTCAGCTGCATTGCAAGCAAAGTGGCTTGGTTTTGCTTTGCGGTTCTTAAGCCGTGTCTCACAGCTGCAGCCTGGAGCGGTGGACGAGAGGAAGACTGACAAACAACGGGCCTTGCAGCGAAAACTTCAATGTTGCCTAGTTGTGGCGCTACACCACACCCACTTTCACAGGAAATCTATACTGTCGTTGTAGACCTTCCTCCCACCAAGTAGCAGGCTTATCAACCGCCCTGTGCCCTTGTCCAGATCTGCCGCCAGGAGGCACCCAGAGATGAGTGCTCCCAGTCGAACAGTCGCCAACTCCAATGCAGGCAAAGCGGGAACTCTGCCACATGCGTTGCCGTCTGGACATTGGCTGCAGACTGGAATGTCTGGGAAACAGCTGCATGGACTGTATACAAAGCCCTGGAAGCAGCGGAAGCCACGACAGAGCGGCTGGAACACTTTCGGCTTGCCAGCAGCAATGTGTGGAGCCTCGAGCCAGCTGAAGCGAAAAGCGGAAAAGCGTAATTGGGTTTCAGATCACGAGCCAACAACAGATGCAGCAACACACTGTTACAAAAAGCAGTCCTCTTCCTGGTCACACCAGGCTGGCTAGGCAGAGCTACTGTACTCCCAAGACTCTCTAAAGTCTCGTATAAAGGACTGCTCTTCAGGCGGCCTCGTGATCCTAAGCAGTGAGTGTGAGACTGGACAAACCACATCTCGATCTCAAAGGCAAACTTATCAAAGGCAATTGGCCATTCGGTACAAATGCCACCAATTCATCGCGAAGCCAGGTTTGGAAATCCCGGAACTGAAACTGAAATGCAGAGCCTGTCTTCACAAAGATAGTTGGGTCAATGGCTCCGTTTCCACGTGCTCCTATGAAAACCGCACCAGCTTCCTACTGCTGGTACAGGACTCCTTGAATAGGAGAGCTGGCTTGACTGCCATTGCCAGTTGGGTGCCGCTACTCGAATCGCTCGAGGAGACGAGCATTGCAAAATTAGTGTTCATGTTGGGCCACGTAGCACATGTAGCACAGCTGACGATACACATGCACCACACATGCACTAACGGCAACCCAACGACAGCACCTGCGTTACAGATGCTCAGACATTCGCAGTCAGCAGCGAGGCAATGAACGGATACTTCACGAATTTGCCGCAACAATGTGCTCGACTTCAAAAAGCAGCCAAGGCAAATTTGGCGACTGTATTTTACAGATGCTGTCTGGTGCTCATGTTGTCGGCATTGAAGGCCATGCATGAAAGAGTACATGTACATGCAACAGTGCCAGTGGCGTCAGAGATTCACCCAGCACGTTACCCAAGGACATGCGATGCCGGAAAGGCAGTATGCCTCGGGATCCCTCTGCCAGTCCTTCGGAAAATCGGAAAATCTGGCAAGATTCCTCTTCCAGGATAGGAACTGAATGCAATAGGTTCCTACCCGCTAGATGACTGGAAGAGGATGGATGAAGCTGGCCGGGTGGAGAGTCTCCCGCCAAAGTTATAACATTGCCATTTGAGTTTGAACCCTGCACCCTGGACAATCCTTCCGAAGGACACGTCAGCTGTGCTCGTGAGCATCAAGAGGTTAGGAGTGACTTTCTCTTGGCTGCGAGTCGTATACTTGCGCAGACCTGACCTGTGACTGCGGCAGCCATCCAGTGGTGTGGGCGATGTTCGAGCTTTTGATGGTCAACTTGCCGTTCATTCTACGGTCTCTGGACCAGCAAACTCGGCAGAAGTACAGAAATTTGTCGAGTGCAAAAGGCTGAAGCGTGGTACAAGGTGAAAGAAAAGGGCGGCAAGCGACATTGCCACTTGCCATGGTAAGTGCATGATCCTGTACAGATGAGGGTCTCTCAATTTGTCGGGTATCCTGCTGACGATGTTCCTTCTGCGAGTATTTCTTTAAAGGATAAGGAACAAGGACCCCGTCTTTGAGAAGGTAAGTAGCCAGTGCTCCAGGATGAAGACCCGAGGGTGTTTAGCGCTCAGCGCTCAATCCAGCCTCAATCATCAAATGACATTCAGGGCTGCGACCCCAACTTGTGCGAGTGCATTTTGTGCAGGTACAGCTTGTTTGAAATGCCGGAATACATAAATTGTGGCGAGGTGCATCATCGGTTCAATCCGAGTGCTTCCAGCCACAAGTGTGTTCATCCCACGAGCACATGGCATGGTTCAAGCGTCCTAGCTACGTTGCCAAGATGGCAGATTGAGCAGCTGGAGAATAGTGATCAAATGATCTTGTTTGGTGCAAACCTTCCCGCCGCCCAAGCTGCCTATCCTGGTTTGCAGGCTCGGCCTACGGTCGAGACTTCAAAGATCCGTGCACTCTGTGCACATTACTGGAAGCTCACGTAAGCCTTGGTAGAAGGGATGCATTTCCTCCAGGTCATCTGACTCTGGCTGGTTTGGGACACGTGGCACCTCAGCTCTCCCAAGCCTTATATGCAAACCTCATGCAAGCAAGCATTCAGCTGCTCGGAATAATCAATCAACATGAAGACACCTCCTGCGCTAGAACCCCGCTTACACAAAAGGGGGGCATGTAGAAGGAAGAGCATGCACCTTGGCTTTTAACTTGACAACGCTCTTGCCAAGGCCACAAGCCGCCCTGCATCCCCCTGCTACCAAGAGACATGTTTTGGCGGCATGGGAGGTGGCCGGAAGCCAGACTCCTCAACACAAACGGCTCACCAAACACAGGCTGAAGCCGGAGGCCGTTGATCAGCTTCAGCTGGCGCACACAGACAGTCAGAGAGTTTTGACAGCTCCGTGAACCTGCAAACACACAGGCGCGGCTCCTCCCAGGCCACGGAAACCTGCATGGGCCGGGCAGGAATCGTGTCCTCGTCCTTTGCCCGATGGCGCAACACTAGTCTTCAGGGCAAGTGCTGGCTGAAGCTTAGAGGCTTAGACCTGTAAAAGTGCACCGAGAGAGGCAAAGTCAATGTCAGGTCCTTGAAGAAGTGTGTGTCGACCACTAGTGCGAAGGTCACCCTCTTTCTTGGAATCTCCTTGGCGTGAGAAGCTCGATCTCAACACTCTGCCATCATGAGTGGCTAGGTCGGCTAGGTCAGCAAAGAAATCTCAGTTGGAATTGTGCAAGAGGGGAAGGTGCCCAGCCAGCTGCTGAAATTAGGTCAGGCTCTTCTGCAAAATCGACATCCTCATCAGCGTCTTCCAGGAATTGGAATGTCACCTTCTTCTTCTCCGCCCTCTCTGGCTGTGACTTGGAGGACAGCTGCACTTCAAGATCACCGTCTTCTGTCGTGAGCATTGTGACAATGCGGGTTCTGTAGGACTCCGGGTTCTTCCGAGCCTAGCAAGGTCTACTGCTCATGCTTGCGCCACTGCAGCTCATCACATCTCCTTCCAATCCACTGCTACATGCGGCGCTGACAGTTGACACTTCCCCTCCCGAGACTGGCACACGGAGTCCATCCGAGCTCGTCATGTGTGCATCAAGGTACATGGCGAAGCTTGTAACATCCTGTGTATTCAGAGAGTTACGAGTACCTGAAAAGTTCCCCTCCTTTGCCTGGTGCGGCGAGGCTACGCTGCATGGGCATCGCTTCAACCCTTCCAACCCTTTCAACTTCCAAAAGCCAACCACTCTCCTGCATATCTTGCATGACTCCTGATGGCATTTCTGATCCCAACCGGCCTGTGGTCGCTTCTCATCGCTTGGATGTCTGAAGCTGAGACGATGTCCAACGTGGGCTGACACGCGTGCGCTGGCCCCGCATCCCATGGTAAAGGCCGAGCTGGACTTCAGCAGAGGACAGAATGCTGGGTAAAGACCTACAGTAGTTGATTGTGCTGCCTTGGGCTGTGGGAAAACACATCCTTGGTATGCCACGCCCTAAACAAATATTATTCGATGCAACAAGCCAGCTTTAGAAAGCACTGCGGTCACATAGAATAAAACATGCACGGCCACGGGTTGACGAAGGGGCTCCACTCATGTGTCATCCTTTGTGGTGCTTACCATGCATCACACTCTGCACTCCCATACTGGCTACTATTACGAACAACAGCATTCCCTTCGCAGCCTTGTCTTTATCAGCGGCCACAGCTGCACGGAATGCAGCTGCACGTCCAGGCCTAGGTCCGAACGCAGCAACAAGCAGTACGTAGGATTCCGGTTTGTAGCGATTAGGTTTGAATTTGCTCAAGTTGGCTGCTTTGGTTGTTGCGTCTCGCCTATAGCGCAAGACGGCTTTCCTGGGCTTCCCGCCTGCAAATGCCACACGTGAAGCATGCCCGCAGAACACTGACGCTCATGGAGCAGGTCCTTGCACTCACTGTTGCGGCAAAGGTGCGCTGAAGATGTCGTGGCAGCCACCACAGCGCGCTGGCACCGCAAAAAGATGGTGGAGAAGTTTCATGAATTCGTTGTCATTGGGAAATGGGCGCCGCTTCCAAAGATTAGATTCTGATATGACTCGGTTTGCCGTGTGTTCGCCCCAGTTGGTTCAGCCTGCACAGCAACAACACACCTTCATCTTGAAAATCTAGTTTCAAGGTATACGTGCGCATCACAACACAAGCGATGATGTGGATGTTGCATGGTTTTGCAGGACAGCAGGAAATCCGAACCTCATCATCGGAATCAGCAAACCGCCGCCACAGGTCACTCTGTTGAAGGTGATGTACCTGCGTGCGACAACGGCTGGGGCCTGAAGTTGGTGGGCAGTTCTGGACAACGTCAGGTTGATTGGTCTCAATACAGTTGTTTCGTGTTCTAGCTGCATTTGCCTCTACAAGATCTTAAGTTCACGGATGCCAGCCGACCAACATGCAAAAGGCGTGCTCGGCTTGTCCAGGAATTCACCTCCCGCTCCGGAAGTGCTAGTTTGGTGGATAATCTCAAAAGAGACTCCGTTCGGCGGGCGTGAGATCAGAAAGTGTATCAAGGCATGAAACAAACAGGCTAAAGGAGAAGCATTAGCTAGTTGATTGCCATCTGGGATTGCCGGCCTGCTGTGGCTGCAAGTCATCGAGCTCGCGCCGCAGCATGCTGATCTTGGTCCCACTAGAGTCACTAGAGCCGCAAGGAAACATTGGGTGGATGCAGTATATACGTGGCAAAGCTGCGCCACTACGAAACACAATGAAAGTGTGAAACTCAGTGCAAAAGATGTTGCAGTTATCATGAAGACGAGCAGGTCGTCACAACCGTCAACAGCCCCGGCATCTGTGCAGCCACATCTTGGGAACATACCATCTGCGTGCCCCATGGCATGACGTCGTCTACGTTTGCAGCAAACCTGGCGGCAACTGGCGATGGACAGAGATGGCTGAGCACTCTGACAAAAGTTGCAAGACCTTACTCGCGACATGTCGCCACTATTCTGACCTCTGGTTGCAGACGATGTCAAGGAATTGAGCCGCTGTCATCGCCCGCCGTCTGAGTAGCGGAAGCGCCTTGACACGCAGAGGCCGCCAAGGCCGCAAAATGATGGGCATTTGCGCTTGACACCTGTCCCATCCTGTCCCTGCGCATCTAGGGAATCTAGGCATCCTTGGCATAGTACAACCCAAGCTTCAAAAAGGCCTTGCATAGCCAATTGATCTTTGCAGGGCCTCGGCGTGCAAGCAACAGACACAAGCACAAGGCACGGCAGATCACTCCAAGATCAACCACTTCTGTGCAGCTGTGAACTCTGCAATCTTCTGGCAGAACGCAACTGTCATGCCACAAGTTTGACCATGAGGTGACTGGGGCAGCAGCCATCAAGCCTGACAATCTTTTGCAGGTCCCGGCTGACATCCTTCCAGAAAAGTCAGGAGCGCTGGGGCACTGCCGAATTGGGAAGCAGGTGTGCTTAGCAAAGGTAATGCGTTCAACACACATCTTGCTGCCTCTGCCTCATCTTTGTGAGTCGCCTGCCGGCAAGCACCAATGCTTGCGTGCTGCCGGTGCAGATGAGAAGCATCGCTTAGGAGACTCACCAAGTTAATGACTTCTTTGCTGTGCAATGCCGAAACCGGAGGAGTAACTACGTCCGCCTTGTAGTGGGCACGTGATGCGGCCCCCTTGGGCCGTCTGCTGATCACTTCCCCGGCTATGGGCACCTGCAAGGAAGCATAAAAAAGCAGGTCTCCCTGAGTAAACGATTCAGCGTGACACAGGCTGCCAGCAGCTCCTTTTGAACAGCCCTTTCTGATTGAGCCAGGTCGTCCCCCCGCAATGGCGAGGCTTAAAACAGCACTATATCACTTCCATTCAGCGTATCCACGGGGCTCCCACAACGCTTTTCAAGCAAACAGACCGTGTGGCCACCTCCACCTTTCCGGGGCGCGGCCTGGAAGCGAGTTCCAAGACAAAACACTGGCAACATGCCACAATATGTTAAAGAACGCAGACTAGCTCTCCTTGCAAATCTTTCTCAGCTAGAAATTCCGGGGGCGTCAGCTCATGTGTGTTGGATCAAATATCCCGTAATCTGAAAGTAAATAACTCTGCCGCGAGGAGTTGCAGCAAGAATGTGTAGCTCTTGCTTTGCCAAAGAGGTTCAGGGCCCCACGTCATCTTTCCGGTCGCTGGCACACATGGGCGCCGCACTTCATGCAGCCCCCGAGTGCTCGCTGCTTTGATTTCCCTCGGGTCTTGGGACAGCTACTAGGCGTTGACATAGAGGCTAGAAGTAGGGTGTTGCGCAAGAAGGCAGGTAAGCTGCTAAGAGTTGGAGGCACACTGCACAGGTCAAATTGTTTAACGCTTGTGGTAACTCTGCTTTGGTTTGCCAAGTTGACTGAGTCAGCTCGCTGGCGGCTGCTGCTTTGGTGGCCCTTCTTTGCGGTAGTTAGTTGTGGCCCAGCTTTAGGTTTACGGGCCTCTCATAGAACCCATCGAACTGCGTTTGGTCAGCTTGAGTAGGCAATGAAAGGCAAACAAGCGTCTTCTTTTGATTGCACTGCCCCCCTGTCACACCTGCAAGCCTTTTCATGTGCAGTTGTCTCCTGGCACCGCCCCAAAGCCCTTTTGCACGCTTTCAGGCAACTCATGGTCCACAAGTATTCCATGTGGAGTCGATGAGTCGATACTGTAGTTCATGTTCAACTTCTAGCTCACCTTCTCGGCTAGTGCTGCTTCCACAGGGAACATCTTGAAGAATGCTGAGGCCAATCAAAAATCGGCTTGGCCTGCCCGAGTGCGAGATGGGCTCGCCTTCGGCTTTGGCCCAGATGGTCCTCTGCCCTTGCTAAGGCGATGTTGATACACTTCTGCAAACAAGGGAACGTTCTTTAGCAAGGAGCTTAAGCGAGGATGTGCAAGAAGTCAAAATCTGAAAGGCTTCAGCTGCAAAGACATGCTGCCTCAGCTGAAGCCTGCTCCTACTACGACGTCCCGAGCGAGCGACTCTCTGCATAGTCGACAAGCTTGACAGCAGGTCAATGGAACACTCTGGCAAATTGCAACTTTTTGAGACTTCGAGGCGCGAACCTCTGGATGCTCAACTCAAGGCGGGCTTCCCTCTCAGGAATATGTCTACACTATCTACAGCCAGCTCGGACCAGCGATGCTATCTGAACAGCTTGGACAGGCTCCTTGCACGAAGAACTGCTGCAAAGCACGAGGAAGTGACAAGAGCATCGCAAAGCATCTCTGTTTGATGCAAAAATTCTTCTGTTCATCAAAGAGAAGCAATAAATTGCAAAAACACCAAGCCTTGCAGCATTGATGGCATTTGAGGCCACATCGGCCTGAAGCAAAGGCAAGCAAGGCTTCTTAGGCTATGCAGCCAAGGTCTGGCACACTACCTACGCCGACAGCCTAAACCCGCCAAAAAAAGACCCAACAAGCACAAAGCGCATCGCTTCAATAGCAAAACAGTGCTGCCTGGACCATGTTGTCTTTCACGTCTGGCCCAGCAGCAAGGATCCCCGGATGTCTTGTGACAATCTCCAGGGCCTGACCACACGAGCAGTTCTGATTCATTTGATGGTTTGGGTGTCTACAGAAGAGCACAACACGCAGAGTGTCCTTGTCGCGGTCGGCACCATCCACCATCGCTTTGAAGGTTTTCTGCACAAGAGAAGTCAAGGGGTTATCTACGTGATCGCAGACAAATTGACACCTCAGTCGCTCAACGCACCCATTTTCAACCTGGCAAATCCTACTTAGCGGTCTCCCACAAGATGCTTCCGCAGCGTCTGCAGATTCATCACACATAATGCCTGGAGAAGCATTGCGAGTACAGTCAAATGGTGCTGAAAGCTACTACTTGTAGTAGCTGGGCAAACCTCGGTCAATGCAGCAAGTCACTACCAGAGCAATGACTCTGCTGCCTGTTCGGCGCTCTGTGCAAGCTACGTTCCTCCGGCATGCTGCGACGATTCTATCTACAATGTCTCGCGCCCTTAGACGCTTGAGACGCCCGGGAGGCTCAAGTTGTTAATGGCTAACTGCCAGCGTACGTGCATCGAACGTGGCAACTGGAGCAAGGGCGTCGGAGTGCCCCAAACTTGAGCATCGCGGAACAAGACTAGGTTGAGCTGCAGGCCGTCGCATGATGCAGCATGCTGTGTAGCATACGGTTGCGACTTCAAATGCAGCGTTGTCTCTAGATGGACCTGATGGCAAAGCTATGTAGAAGGCTCTGTTTCGCGCCCTTTCAGGAGCCGGATGGTCTTCTTGCCAACCTGTAGGCACGCAATGATGTCCCATAACCTCTTTGTGGGTTGCAACTGGCCTGCTGCACCTGAGGATTCTGCGGATAGAGTCTCACCGCCTTGAGTGGGTCAGTTGGGGGCGAGACTCGGCGCTAGCAAGCAGATGTGAACAATATCTCAGAAGTGCGAGGCCCGGCATCTCTCAGCACGCGCACTGCTCCGGCCGTTCGAAGAGAAGCCTCGCCCCGCAGACAAGCTCAGCTGCAGCTACGCCTCTGTCACTGACACTGCTCGCAGCCTGATTCCCACGGTGGGTGGCCAAGTTGTGCAATGCTCCGATGCAGTATTCGAGCACGGACAAGTCGTGCCTGCAGGCAGCTCTTCGTAATCTAGCACACTAGTGTCATTCCTCGCATAGTTCACTCCCGTACCGCGGGACGTAGGACTAAACCAAGTTGCACGTGTGTCCGCATAGTCTTCAGGACCATCTCCCCACCACCCAGCGTGGCCAGCAAAGACCTCCAGCCAGCCGTCACTACCAAGTCAGCATCAGCTGCTATACTATCCTGACCCACAAGAGATTGATTCCAAGAGGCTGTTCCTGGCTAGTAGCTGCGAGATTTGCCTCGGTTCAGGTTTCTCCATGCCTGCTATCTACTCAGGAGTATGCGCTCCTCATTTAAAACTGACAGACAAGAAACACCATGCTTGCAAAGTCAGCTTTTGCATGCCACGCAATGTGAACAGTTGAATAGGATTGGACGGACAGTATGTCAATGGCATGTCCTTCCAGACAGGGCGCTAAAGCCGCGCAGGCTTTGAACTGAACAAAGGCGTTGCCTGAGTTGTGGCTGTCTTGGGCTGCAGATGTTGCTAGAACTACAGAAGAATAAAGACTGCGATGCCAAATCACAAGGTTCTGTTCCAGGACATTTTTCCGCAAAACGCCTCCTGGAGCTTGTCTGCTTCAGCCAAGGCTCTGGGATGCATATGCATTGCACGCAGGACAGCCTCCAACTGATGTGCACCCTCTGCCCCCTGAATTCGGAATGGGTCTAAGGCCAGAACCTCCAAGCCCTTCTCTTGAACAATGCTCTGGCGAGTCGACGGCGTAGCTGCCAAATGGACCTTGCGTCAGGCTGACGGCAAGTACAGGAATGGCATGCGATGGACGTCAGACCTGCTCTACCAATCTAGCTGCGGACAGAAGAGCTAAGGTTCCGCAGCAATAGCCCTGTACTTCTGACTCATTCTCGTTGAGCTCCATGGACCTGCTGCACAGCTCTACAGCAAACATCGTCAAGTGAGGAGCCCTTTGCCTCAGTATGGTAGGAATGGCATCCTGCAGGGCCAAAGGCGTAAATACAGGATTCAGATTCTCTCTTGTTTGCCTGCATTGACGCTGGATGAAGAGGATGGCGAAAGCCAATTCCGAGCGAGCAATTCACGGATTCACGAAGGCTTACCCCATCACATCAACTGCCTGATTCCATGGCAGACCCTGGAGCATGATTCTATCAGCTGCCCAAACACCCATCCGCGCAGCCCTTCGCTCTAACGGTGGGATTTGTAGAGAGATTTTGATGGAGACGCGATCCTTCGCCGCGACCGCCTCGCGGCTCTCGTCATCAGTGCAGAGGTAGCGCCTGCAAAGCTGCTTGATTAGCTTTGACCCCTGCCGTCAAGTCGAGCCCCGCACAATGATTCGCAGCCACGCTCCTGCACGAAGGCCTGGGTTCTTGTGAGGATCCCGGATTAATCTTGCCCTGCTTGCTCGGCCGCAACATGCGATCAGCTATCCTGGTCCACTTCGGCCTATCCGTCTAGAAAACCTTGAGGCTCAAGCATTTTGCGGGTCCGACTGCCTCAAAACAGGTAGGGAATTTGCAAGTAGCATAACAATCACGCCTGCCTAGCTTGTGACCTGGGGCCAGGGCATGAGGTTCACCACCTCCTGCCAGGCATGATCAGTCAACCTCGCGTCCCCGCAGGAGAGTGCCATGCCAGCCTCAACCACGGAGTCCATTCCAGCCTAAGACTAGGAGGTTAAGCAGCTTGAAACAAGCCGGCGTGCAGAATTCTGTTCCAGGCATCGCGCAGCTTTCCAATCTGCTCCGAACTTTTCGAGTGCAGCCTGTGACTCCCCAAACGGGCTCACAGGTGCATCAGACCGTTCATTCTAGCATTCGCACCCTAATAATCATATACTTACACGAAACCTATACTACAGTTACTATTACATTCATTCTAGCATTGTCACCGGCTGCGCCTTGGCTGCGGTGACAGCCGGCAGTTTGACATCTGCACCTGCGAAGGCAACAGTTCATTTCAGACTGGAGCTCTCAGTGACTAAGACAGACTTTCCGAGGGTCCCTTCATGGAGAGGGCCTTGTGAAACCTATCAGCTTGCCTGTGCTTGCTCATCATGTCTGAGCGGTAGTCATGTCACTTGTTCCATGCTGCCTGCATCTCCGTCCTGAACATCCTCGCGGACTTTGGGAAGACTCGAGGATGTGCTGTGCTTGGCGGAGTGTGGTCGAAGTTTCGCGGACCACTCCTCTGCGCGCGGGACTCTTTGTTCTTATACCAAAGGTGTCGATTGCTAGCCTCTAGAGCAGTACAAGTAAAGAACTTGGCACGAGTCCTGTCTCCACTCTTTCATCCAATCTGCATGGGCCTCTCAGAATGTCTGTGCTGGTTTGTGCTTGCTCTCAGCACAGTCCAAGTCCAAGGAGGCCTGGAAAGCTGAGGTGTCGAAAAGGGCACGCTGAAACCAGGCCATGCCATCGTAGTCAGCAATCTGCCCTGCAAACAGCAAAAGGAAAAAAAAGCTCAAATGCTGCCATCCGCAACAGCAGAGCGCTCTCCTCTTGCATGGCTAACAGCTAACAGGCCTTCAACCAGAGCCTTGCGCTCCGCTAAGGTTTGTAGTGCCGAAGGCAGCAAAGGCTCTGAGGCCTTGCACAGAGCTGACACGGGACCGCGCTTACAGGAGAACATTGTGCTGGCACCAACAAAGGCAGAACACTGCCTCCTCTGCTTGCATTTTGAGCAAGGAGGCCGCCTTGGGCAGAGATCGACGCACAAGCAGTGTTCGCTCAATTGGTGAATCTACGTGTACTTTATACTGGCATGCTCATGGAGTCTGGAGAGAGTGAAATTGCAACTGAGAGCGCCATGGAGAGCTCTGCCGCTACATTGCTTCGCCAAACCTGCCAATGTCCAACATCTTGCCAAAGAGTTTGTCCAGCTCATGCATGGCAATGTCAGTCACAATGATGATGCACTGTATGGATATGGATTCATTTCAAACATTCCAGCGGCTGCCTCTGTGCTGCGCAGTCGAAGGACAGCTTGAAGCAGCACGGCTGCAACCAGCACCTCAGCCACGTACAGAAGCGAGATAGTTTTGTTAGAGTATAATTCTAACCATCACCAGACATCATTTTGCCAGGGCCAGGGCTGCCACAGCACGGTCAACTGAAATCATTGCGCCGCATGATCGGCAAAGCTCTTAACTGCTTGTCGTTTAGCTGCAGAGCTGCTCGGCTTTGGGAGCTCATCAAAGAGCGGCTGAGGCATGATTCTTGTTTTGCAACATGCCAGACAAGGCCAGGTCCAGAGGCCTTCTGAGAGATGTTGTGAGCTGTGCTCTTGTCTTGGTGTGCTCTTCATGGGTGAACAGTATGACAGCTGCGGTGTCCTTCCACTAGCAGGATCACAACTGTTTCTGGCCTACAGCATGAGGCAGCTTGCTTTTCTTTTATGAAGAAACGCTTGTCCTCGCAATCATGGACAAAGCTATCTGCACTTCTGCCATGATTGTCCTAGAATCCGGCAGGCATCTTGCACTTGGTAAATGCGGGTTGGTTTTGTGCCCACCTGTACGTAGTCAGAGTCAATGACCAGAGGAAGCGCATCTGTCTGCATGATCTTCACCGCCTGTCAAAACTGCGTGTCATGCCACTCGGTCAGCCACAAGCACGGCTTGATTAATGCTCTGCTCTCTTGTTTTAGGTTTCGCTTCGCCAGTTAAAATCTGATGACTTCATGCACGCAGGGCGGATGCGAAGAAACAAGTGCAAAAATGGCTTGACCAGCCTCATGCAATGAGAGGCCACGCTGCGCAGGCAGTTTGGGTCGACTGGAATTTGCTTATCAGGTTTTGCACTCCCAGAGTCTATGTGAAGCCAGGCTATGGTGATCGGAGCTTCTCCACTTTGGCTCTTGATGCCACACAGCAGCAGCATCAAGTAGCCCCTTTTAAGCAGATCTCTGTTCCACCACAGTGTAACTTTAGGTGACTGAGTGTCCAGTCAAGTCTAGCGCGCGGATTGCAACTCTACAGCCACTAAAAGCGTCTCATCTAGAAAGCTGCCGCCTGCCCCTCTTCACCGAGACTTTTGCAAACCGGCAAATCCGCATCCGACAAGTAATTTTGATGTCAACCACTTGAAATTATGTATAAAATCAGCTCCGGCAGCCTCCTCATTTGTGATGCCGAAGGTGTCACGGAGTCGCCTCCCGTTGGCACAACTTCTTCAATGGCTTCCAAGTGCTGTGAATCCTCAAGATCGCCACATGAATGAGAAGCTGTACCTCCATCTGTATTTGATGTCATTCTCGCCCACGGGGGTGTCCATGTACCTCAGGCCCGCAGGTGAAACTACTGCTGCCCCTTGCCTATGGCAACCCGCACTAGAGTCACAGATAGTGGGATTTATTAGCATGGCCTCCTAATATGATTCACGACCTCCGTCTGTCCTGGATTGTCAAGCATGGAACGCGTGAGCAACAGTTCTAAAAACTGCGCTTCAGGCAGGAGTGTCCTAGAACATCAATCGGCGCAATAGATGCGACTAAACAGTAAACCTACTACTTTCTTGCTACATGGTGACAAAAGCACTGCATACATCCAAGCAACAAGGCAGCAAGTCAAAATGCAACAACTTGCAGCGCGCATGCCACGCTCTGCGGCACCCGTGTACTGCTCCTGGAATGCCTGAGCAGGCTTGAAATGCTGATCTTGCTTGAGGTACCATCCCCGATTTACAACCGGTTGACCCATCAAGGGTAACTGCGTCATCTTTCGTTATGCGGGCGCAACCTGTTTGAAAGCCCCCTGGCGATATGTTTTGCGTTTAATTAGATCAGCTACGGCAAAGGGCAGACCATGAAACACGATGAAAAGCCCCCAAATGCTTGACATTTGCCTCCCAAACCGCTTGCGCCAGGGCTTCCTCCTCAGGGCCCTGTCAGCAAAAAAAAGCTTTCAATGTGCTTTGCAGCTTCCGAGCGGATGACTTGTTTTGCGCCATGAGGCAAAGCCGTCTGCAGCCCAACATGCTGCAGAAGGTCGGGGCCGCTTGCTTTGGGGAGTTCGATCAGCAGAGCTCTGCCACTGGGACTTCATCCCGGTTGTGATGTCTGCGTGACGAGCCGAGCTCTTCTGGCTTGTCGGAAAAATTCACACTTCAGGGCTTAAAATCCCACATCGAATGCTTCACCGACGAGCACCGCCACCATCATGGCGGTGTAGGGCCTGGCTTGGAGAAATCAAGCATTCAACAAACCATGACAAAGGGTATGAATATGAAGCCAAGAGCAGATCGCAGAGCCTCGAGCTGCCTCATGGCCCAGTGCGCCGGGCCCTCCTGGCTCCCCAAGGTGCTGCTGAACCCAGTTGTCTTACATGCCGTTCTCTGACGAAGAAGCCTTGAAATGCCAAATTGCAAGGTCCTGCTGAGCAAACTGCTCATAGCTTATGGGCCAGCGAAACCCAGGAAACTGCCGCTGGAGCTCCGACTCCAAGCCTCGAGCCACACATGGAATGTTCCCGTGGATTGTGACCACGCAGACTGGTGATCATATATGCCGTGAAGCGCCAAAGCTCATGAAGGCGTGGGAGCAGAGAGGTAGCACAGGCAGGAAGTGTTCAAGAACCTGAAGTAGCCGCAGTGCAGGCACTGCAGGCAGCACATTGATTTCGGGTTGAAAGGAAGCATCTGCGCCAGATGCGCCAGGCACCGTTGAGCGGCTGCACGTAGCGGCGTGCATTACTGGAGGGACTGTCGTCCGAACGGTGCAAGGGAAGAAGGCAGAGTGGCCAGCAATGTGGGGACTGCGCATATCCATCCGAAACATGAGGTGTAAGTCTCGCCGTGCGGACGCAAATTCACATCCCAAACCTCCTCATACCGAGGGAGTGTCCCCTTCGCATCGCAAGGGCGGCAGACATCGAAAACTCTTACAATGTCAACAGAAGCGCCTTAACATCACCTTGCAATACCAGCTTGAAACCTTTGATAACCATGATAAGCCTCTCACAAAACATTCGTAGTTCTCGCATGCGCAGCATAAAGGCCTAGAAAGTGAGAACGAACAGACAGCCCCGATCACATCTCCAATGATGTTGATGATGCCCAGAATGCGGGCATGATCAGCATCACTGGGGCCGGTTTGACCCCAAAAGCACGCTCTTGCTACGTTACAGTTTTTGTTGCATGGAATGGAACCCACGGGATAATCCCTGAGGATCACTCTCCTTCTGCAATAGGACTCAATCGGCAGGGATTTCGGGGCGCTGCCCTCTAATCTTTCTTGAGAGGAGACTCCTACGATGCATATGGCATATCCATGGCCTGCAGGCTTCCACAGAGGCCCTGGCGCTCTGAACTGAGTGGCAGAACTGTGGCAAGGCCGGCTGACAACTCGTACCTAAGCTGTTAGGCTGGTTGTGAAAGAAACTAAGAAACCAACCAGTCCCCATGCGTCAAATGCCACTTAGGTTGTGGCAATGTTAGCTTGCCAGCCCCACCTACATCCACGAGGCTGAACCAGTCAAAGGGCGCCTTGCCCAGTGTCACGGGATGCTCAAGGATAGCAAGAGCTGGCCCGCCTGGCCTCGCGCAAACTTGGCATGGAGGTGACCGAAGCAGTGCCTCCGTTCCGACAAAGTGGACCTTGGGAAGCTAGGGCCACCAAAACCGCCTAAAGCGTTCTTCCGCTCAGCACATAGTCAAGCTTGCTGATGTGAGGCATTGCAGAGGCACTGCCCAGTGTAGTTGCGGCCGCAGAGCAAAACGGCTCCTGAAATCCAAGTCTCAACTCCTTTTCCAAAGGCCACTCATGGCCACCCCGTCCTCAACGCGGCAGCTCCAAAGCGGTCCAAAGGCAGGCTTTGCTCAGGCATGTCCTGACCAGGCAGAACCGCTTTGTAACAAAGGATGCAATGACATGACAGCCAGTGGCAGGGACCTCTGGTCGTCGCGGAGGGCCCCCGCCTGTGATCGCTATTATTGATTGGTTCTGCACCGCGCGTCTCAACAGAAGCAATACAACAGCTTAGAGAGGGGCATTTTCGAAAATTAGGGGTGCCCTTGCTGGTATTGGTACTGATTGGCATCTATTTTGGGACCGGAACCCCAAAAAAGCAGCCGTTTCGCACAACGGGGCTACTTCTCCGTGCGATACAAAATGCTTGCTGGCAGGCCGCAGAGCTTGCACTTGAAATCGCTAGAGGTGTTCCTTGGACGTTTGCAGCTCAGCTCTTGGCAAACAAACTGAAGCTGATCTACAAGCATATCGTTTTCTGCTTTTTACATCAGGTCATCTTCATCCTTTGCTACCCTGCACGCCCATGACGCGGCCCAGTATCTCCAGCGAGCAACGGCCGCAGGTCCAACAACTGAACTCCCCCCCGCTGTACACGATGAACCTGGGCTAACTAATGAGATCAGAGGTTTCTGGCACCTCAAGTTTGAACATGATCCAGCCAGCTGAGTAGCGTTTTTTGGTGGTTGAACCGAGTAAGATTAGAATCCTTGTATTACATTCTATACCCAAAAGGAGGAGATAGAGTGAGATACCATGAGATACCCCAAATAAAAAAAGCTACTCAGCTGCTGTTCGCCTACTACAAGGCTAGACCAACTCTATCAGCTACGTCTGTAAGCGGGTCTTCCGTGCGCAAAGTCTTGCGTGCGCAAAGCTCCAGACTTTGATCGCAAATCTTTGATGTTGCCTCAACAACCAGCATGTGGAATCATGGTCCATAAGCAATACGAGCAAAAGTCAAGCAGTATTACACACTCCCCTTGTCGCTGAACTGCCATCTGAGACTGAGCCCTGGGCGGCTGGTGACCGTAACATTCTCGAGGCCTTCCTGTTGGAACTCCTT